AAAAGTATAGTTTAAAATAACATTTATTAGATTTAATATTATTAATAAGCTTTTTAATTTATTTTATAAAATATAATATATTAGAAGTAACAATATTGTTTATATTAAATAATTTTTTAAATTATTTAAGTTTTAAAATAATCTAATATCTAGTTATTTGCATTTAAATTATTTATTTCTGTTTAAAAATATTTTAATAATATGTATTTAAAAAATAAAAAAAACTTGTATTTATAAAGTCAAATATATATTTGATTTTTTTTTAACTTTAGTAATCATGCTAATACTTTATTAGAATTCTTAAAACTATACAAATTATATAAAATTTTTTGATATATAAGTCTAGTATTACTTAGCTACTCAAATAATACCTAGTGCAACCTGCTGCACTATCTTAGTTAGAGATAGACTGCTTGTTTGACTGCTATTCTACAATAAAATATCATTAATCTAATAACATCTTTTCATAAAAAAGCAAAAAATAAAAAAATTTTTTATATTAAAACAAAATTGAGATATAGAAATAAATGATAAAAGATACAAATCAAAAAATAAAAAATAAAAAGCAATAAATGAGAAAAAAAATATATGAAACTTACAATTTACAAATATTAAACAGTTACAATTATAAGTCTGTGTTGGGCTTTATATATTTGAATTAGAATTTAAATATGTACTTAAAATAATATATATTTATAATATTTATTAGTATTTTTAAATTTAGTTTAATTTAAATTTAAGTTCAGATTCAGGTTCAATTGAATTTAAACAATGCTTTAAATTTTGCAAATCTTTTAATTTTAAATTTGAACTAACCTTTAAATTTATAAATTTAAACTAAATCTGAACTTAAATTTTAGTACAGTTTAAATTTAATTTAAATTTATTTATTTTTTTAGTTTAAAACAACAATTTTGTCTGTGTTTTTATTTAGTAACATATTATTACATTATTATATACAAAGTCTATCAACAAAAGTACAACTAACTATATATATAACTTTAGTCATTATCTAATTAAGGATTCTGCCTATAGGTTATCTACTAGATATCCTATCTGAGACCTATCTCTGGATCTTCTATTTAAACTTTTTGATTTTCAACACTTATTTGCATATATATGCAATATTTATAAAATTTGTAAGATTTCTGACATAGTAATAAAAACCAATTAGAATTAAATCATATTTTAAAAAATTACTAATTTTACAAATCTTTTTTAATCTCAATATCACATAATATTATGCTTGTTAGAACTGTCTTATTGAGCTAAATCAAATACAAGTAATTTCATCCAATTTGAACCAATAGATAAAAAGTTATCAACAAAAATGTATAAAACTCTTAATGTTTACAATATCTATATATATTTCAAAATTCAGCACTATGATGTGTTTAGATATTTTGCATTATAACTTAATATTTTATTATAAAAATCATGCTTTGACTTATAAGCGTAACTTTTCAGTATCAATTTTACATATGTTCAATTCCTTTAATCTAACCTAAAGCCAGCCCTAACCCCAACATTAAATTTAGGGAATTACTATTCGCACCATGGATTTTTGCTATTCGCACCATGGTAACTAACATTATAAAAATCCACTTACCCTAACTCTAACTGATTCTGGTCATGATCTACATACCATGACGCGAATAGCAGTTCTCTAAATTTATTTACTTGTAATAAAAATTTTATAATATCGGGTGATATCACCTATGGTGAAAATTAGGTATAATCTTTTTGATATTACTGTATTAATAGAAGCGACCGAAAGTACTTTAAAAAATAAATATATATATTTTTAATTACAAAAATAAAATGAAAGACATACAAAAAAGATAGAAAAACATTTACAGCATAGGCTATTTTTAAAAATATTAATATATAATGAACTTTTAAAAGAAATCATCATGGCTATCATAATCGGTTTCTAAACTCAAAGTGTAAGATATAAATAACAAACATGAAAAATAATTGCAAAGTGTTTAAACATGGTGTCTTACCTGAATATGAACATCCAAATCCATCATATTCATAGCGATAGCCAAAATATCTCATTGTAGTCACGTTTACATCAGAATACATTTCGGAAGGTTCTAATAAGCAGATGAATAAATATAAATAAGTTAGTGTTACTTCAAAGATATAGGCTTTCTTGCAGTAATAATGTTTCAACTGTACCATCCTTCCAATAGATGGCCTCCAGCGAGAATGTTAGCACATATAACGGCTATAAACGTTAAGCTATATATAATAATCAATTGTGTTGATAAATTTATATAACTTACCGCTGGTAATAGCGGGTGCTTCAAAAATAATTCGAATGTTGTTTCCTTCAACACCATAAAAAATATCTCTAATCAAACTTGTAGCATTTTTTATCTTCATTTCATCTTTTAATATACGGTCAAAAGGAACATTCTCCGATAGATTTTGGTTAAAATCGACTTTCCATAAATTAAGGTCCTTGGGTTTTATATTGTAAGAAACACTGATTTCTCTGAAGATGGCTTTCTTGAGATCAAAAATATTGCTATTACTTTTAACGGTAACATAAAAAGCTGAACTGCAACTACTTCCACGTTCCAGACACCAAATATTAATAATTGACATTATACTGTAAATGAGTAAATCTTTTTTTTCTGCAGAAATTGGGAAAGTAAGAGTATATAAGAAATCCGATTCATAATCATACTTTTTACTGATGATTTTGATCCATGATTAAATCTGAGTTAGATTTATTGATTTATTATTTGTATATACCGTCATATAAAAGCAAGCTTAATAATTATTACAAATAATCAATTTATTAGTTTTTATGAAATTTAAGCAATTTAATATTTTCTATGTTTTCTCAAATTAGCTTTTCGTTTTTCAAGTACAATTAATTTTTCTTCTTCATCAATAGAAGTCATAACATATAAAAGTTTAAAGTTACCTTGATTTCATTAGATACACTCGTATTTCTTGAAAAGTTAAGTCATGCGATTTCATTTGGTGCATTAATGGGAACCACATTTAGGACTGGTTATCTATACTTTCATGTTCTGTTTTACATTAATATACATTAGAATTACAGTAACCATTTAATACTAGCGCAATAAAAAAATTGGTTTTCATGGGTGTAGAAATAAAGTCCAGTTAAAAGGATTATTGATATTCGACATAATATGCTGTGATTGATAAATGGGTGAAATTGGATAATTGACACCTTCATCCAAACTTGATTTATCAATTGCCAAAAAAAAAAAACGAAGATATTTTTAATTTGAGCATTTGAAGTATTATTACTGAAGAATGTCACGGCTCATAATGAAATCGGGTTAAAATGAAATTTGAGGCTGCTATTTAATTACAAATTTGAGAATCTAAACTTGGCGTACTAATAAATAGCTTTCATTGCGAAATGATAAAATTTATAACTTCCGTGTCTTATATATATGTAACTTTAGTGCCAGAATATCTGAGTTCGGTTTGATAAGCTATTTACATGAATCATACAATGTTTTCATACAGCAGCTGGCTTATATAATGTGATGTTAATTTGGAACAGAATTGGATCGTTTTAAACGGTATAACATTGCTACATCATTCATACTTTTTGATAATTGTTTGATACTTTACCTATTGTTCGAAGCGTAGCGGAGGACTTACAGTAAAATGTGTATATTTATTCATTATTATTCGCGAACTACTAAAATCCGCGAATACTCATTAAATAGCCCTGATGGATGTTTAAAGGATCCCAACTCTATTGAAAGTTGAATATACTAAAAATTATTTGATCCTATTTGGTTATTCTTTATTTTTTTGCGATTTTATAAATTAATATTTTTTTTTGTCTAACACAAGCGTGCAAATTAAAGGTTTAAATAACCCTAACGACTTATAAGACTTAGCATGAAGGTCATTCGAATGCCTCGCAGGTTATATAAATTTGGATATATTTTAAAATAATTTATAAAACGGAAGAGAACGATATTCCCGGCATCACTTCATCTTTAGTCATTAATTCAAACTGTCAAAATATTAGGTAAACATTACGAACCGTGTTAGATAAATTCGAAGTCAGTATTATGTAACAAAAATAAAATCTCAAGAATATTTTTCTTTATGGTATTAGTCGCGACTGTTCAATCAAAAGTGCTGCGAAATATGAGTTCACGAATAAATGATATGGTGGAAAGGATACTTCAGCATATTGAGTTATCTTCATTCGAAAAGGTAGAATTAAGTAAAAAAAATATCATTTAAGAATGTGTTGAATAATTAGCACGGTTAAGAAATAATATATTGTTTGCTTTATTTATATTATTTAATAGTTTATTATGACAGTAAAGTTTTACAAAATAATTTTGATATTTTGTGAATATACAGTATAATATATAGCTATAACATATATTATTTGTTTAAATGAGTGCGTGAGAGTGAAAACCTGGAAACCGATCATAGTAAACCATTAACTCGGTTTCCAGGTTTTCACTCTCACGCACTCAAATAAAGATTATTAATAAAGTTTTTAAGATATTAGTTTGGGTTTGAACAAACTCAAACTATAATAGTTTGGGATTTGGGTGGCAAATATAGTCACAGATTACTGATATATGGTCTATGTAAATTAATATTTTTTGTGATGTGAACTTTGTAAGTTAATTCAAAAAAGTTATTACTTGATATTTACAATTTTTTCAGCAAATATACTCATACGTATGCTATTGTTACTCATTTTATTAAGTCGTTACATTTTGCAAGCCACTGCAAAAATTGCAATTAATTGGGTTCAATTAATTGTCCTCACAATAAATTATTCGGTAGTCTTGGTTGTATTCGGGTCCAATTTTATTAGTAAAACGTAATAACCTTCGTCAACCTTTGGTTCCAAAATTTGAAGAAGCTTTAATTGGGGGTTGTTTATAATCGGAACGGATCACTTCGCTAGAACAGCGTAAGTTGTCAGGTATGTGAGTACAGGACCACGAATAATACTAATAGAAGTTTTATCCAAAATCTGCAACTCTGATTGGTTGAGCCTTATTTTAACCAATCAGAGTCACAGAAAAGTGGATAATGAAGCAATGTAACCTCTACTTGGGGTCCTGTGAGTACCTAGCCATTTCCATGCATGTTATTGGATCAGTTCTAATACACCAGATGAACAAAGTTTGTGTATCACGTTTAGAAATGATGGCTAGGTGCATACACCAGAACTGTACAATAATGTTGTTATTGGTCAAATTGTGACTGATAATCGTTGATTTCTTCACAGCAGACACCGCGTTTTGGCGTGCCCTTCGGCACGTCATTAGCACAGTTTCCTAGTGAATAATCTGTTATCATCCACAATAACAAGTACATACACGTATTATGATATCATTGATTGGCGTATGTGCGTAAAATATCAAATTTGGCGATATGGGCTGAAGCAAGTACGTAGCTACGTACTTAAATATACTCATTAGTGATGCGGTAGAATCGTCCCAATGATAGTCGTCACATTACCGTAACTTACCGTGACTATAGCAAGTAATATAGTAAGTTACAGCTATAACGATAAGGCCGTAACTTACAATATTACTTACTATAGTTACGGCAATGTGACGACTGTCATTGGGACGATTCTACCTTGTAGGCAGAAGTTTTTCTGATTGGCTAGTTTAGAGCACTTTTTAAAAAAACGAAACTAATCATAATGAAATAAAAAAAGCTGTATAGAAGTTTTCATTAGAGCTGTAGGACTCTAGCCAAAAATAAGATCTAATTCTCGTCCGTTTAAAAAAGGTAGTATAGTAATAATTTCTCAAAACCCGATAAAATCAATTTATTACTAAGCTAATCTTTTTAAACGGACGAGAATTAGATCTTATTTTTGGCTAGAGTCCTACAGCTCTAATGAAACCTTCTATACAGCTTTTTTTTTTATTTCATTATGATTAGTTTTCGTTTTTTTTAAAAAAAAAGTACTCTAAACTGTATAAATAATATAAATTCAATTGAATTTATTAGCCAATCAGACAAACTTCTGCTTATGAGGTAGAATCGTCCCAATGATAGTCGTCACATTACCGTAACTTGCCGTAACTTGCCGTAAATATAGTAAGTAATATTGTGTAAGTTACGGCCTTATCGTTATAGCCGTAACTTACTATACGAATTACTTGCTATAGTTACAGTAAGTTACGGTAATGTGACGACTATCATTGGGACGATTCTACTGCATCACTAATGAGTATACGTACATTACTATAAAAAGTACTCTTAATAAGTTTGTTAAACCCAGGTTGGTGTAGCAGTAGGGTGTCCATTATCGTTATATAATGTGAAATTTTAATATCTTTGATGTGAGTCTTACTCTTGAGTGATATTCTGAAATAAAAATGTCTGTTGGCACCGTAATCTCTCAACCAATTTCGGACTTGACTTTTATTAAAGGTGATCCTGTTACCATCGGCGACCAACATAACCCTGTGCCTGTGTTGGTTGTTGAATTTTGGGCTACATGGTGTCCTCCTTGTAGAGATTCGTAAGTATTACAACTAGAGATGCTAGTGAAATCAACCTATGACTTGTAATCATTTCACAATTGATGAAATGGATTGAATTGAATTGGTGAATTGGTGTTATTAATTTCACCATCAGATTTAATTATTAGTTAATGGGTAGTTATTTGTTTAAAAGCTTTTTCAGAAATTATTATCCGAAATGAATAGATTTTTCAGTCATATGCACTGCAAAAAAACAAAAAAAAAATCCATGAATGAATAAAAATTTTCATTTAAAAAGTCATCATGTTACTTATAATATTGTTAATCTATCCAATAACGTCTGTTAATACTGTCATATTTACTTAACTACCAAGCATTCCGCACTTGACTGATATTCAACAAAAGTTTCAAAATGTTACGATTTTAGGTGTTACATACGAGAAAGATGTAGATGTTTGTATAATATTTAATTACAATTTTTATTTTTTATTTTTTATTACCGAAAAATGGCTAATTTTTTTTTCACTTCTAGAAAATAACAGAATTTGTGAAAAGCATGGGTGACAAAATGAATTATACTGTGGCCGTTGATACTAACGAAAGCGCTAAAAATGGTAGGCATTTAGTTATTTTTAATATCTTAACCTCTCAAAATGCATATTCCCTTCCCAAGATTATGTAATCGAATATTACAAAATACGCCTTTAAAAAGGGCATGTATCTTTATGTAGAAAATTTATGAACCATATATATGCCCTGAGGCTATTTCATGCATTTATAAAGGGTGCATTTGGAGAGGTTAAACTGTTTTATAGTTTGATCAAATTCTGCCACTAATTCATTCAAAAAAAGCGATTTTCACTCCAAGCAATGCTCGCGGAATTCCAACAGCGTACATCTTAGTTAAAAATAAAATCGTTTGGCAAGGACATCCAATGGGTGAAAATTTTGAGACTGAATTACAGAATGCTATTTCTCAGGTAGAGTCAATAGTTGAACAGATTGCTCTTCCTCGTATTACTGAATCTTTTGATGATCTTATGCAAAAACCAGTTAAAGAATTGAAGACTATCTTAGAAGATCGTGGAATTTCTATAGTTGGGTGTTTGGAGAAACCAGATTTTGCAAAGT